GACTTGGATAATAGCGCGTTGTGACAAACACCAGATACAGCACTGGGACTTGATCAACAGCCGATACCGCACCGTGACGTCACAAACCAGTAGGTGGCAGTAGTGTTCTTTGACAAACATGGATGCCTCCAGTAATAATTACTTCTTTTTCCTATCATTGAATTTAGCATATTTATGGTTATATGTGATTTTTTTTTATGTTAACCTAGGCCTGATGGTCCATAGTTTGGTCTCCACTTTTTCATTGGGGAGACTAAGGATAGCAGCCACAAGGGATGATTGCAACGTGTCATTTTTCTCCAATCACAAAGAAGCTAGGGTGATAACGCTCACTTTGTACATGCAAAAATTAGACTTAGACAAACTTAATTGTTATTTTGCACACACAGTTTATACAAAATGAAATTTCGTTCAGTACAACTCTCAAGAGATTTCCATTTCTTAAATTGCTGCGGGGATAAAATGTAAACATGGTGATCAAATGTAAACATAAGACTGAGATATGATTTACAACATTCAGAGCTTTTTTTTAATTCAAAATTCAGCAGTCTAATGGCAGTGGGGAAAAAGCTATGAACTATGAACTGAACTAGTTCATTTTAAAATGTGTGAACTGAAATTTGAACTAGTTCACGTAGAAAGAGAACTTTCCCAACACTGACCGTCGGACCTTAGCACTGTGACCCTCTGCCGGAAAAGGGAAGTAGCTGCATTATATGCAGGCTGTCAGTTAAGCTTTTACATTTCAATAATTCCAGAAAACAAGTGTGCAAATCTGTAACAAAAATTATTTTAGATACACAGTCAATTCAAAATTGTTGATAAAGCTAACGCAGCTGTTGACGAGGTCCATCACAGAATTAGACAATGTGAAAACTATATTGATCAATTATTCCACACCACTAACCTCAGATTCCTGGTTGCGCCTTCTCTTGAGCCTGAACACTGGAGTATAATTTCCATTCAACATCGTCTGGCACTCTGCTGTCCAATGTGCAAAGACCTGGCCATGTCTGCAAATGAAAATGTTCTGTTACACTAAAGGAAATCATAGTAGTATATGGGCTATCTACCAAAAGGCAAGACATGGCCATGTGGAAAAGATTACATACCTGTCAAGGGATTTGTTCTCCAGTATCAACAGACACCACCACCTCCGCAAGACTGACATGACATGCTGAAATTCAAAATGTTAAGTGTCAGTAAACAATAAAAGAACCAGGTTGTAATAGTGTCCTGTTAAAATACTTACCACAGAGTAGTCAAATTCTGCATCCAAGGTGACATAAAAGGCGGTCTGTACCAGAGAAATATTTTTACAACTTCAAGCTTTGTGATAGGTTTGGGAGCAAAAATACAGGAATTAGTCAAATGTGGTTTTAACAAAGTCAATCATCATAGGGCCCACCATTATCATGAAGATGCCACAGTCCAAGCCAAAGAGTTGTCTAGGAAAGCCCTGAATTAAGACAAAACATTCATGAACTTAACAGTCACTCATACACGCTAACAGTAATAGAATCAATTTTCAAATACCTGCAAGTCTTTGCCAGTAATTTCCTCCCATGTTCCATCAGAGATGTTTTGAGCAATGTCTCTGGAAATGTGAAATGGAGACAATTACATTTGAGATTTTTATGCAAAGACAAAAAAATAGAACACCGATTAAATTTATAGGAAAACAGGACAACTTTTATTGCTATCAGTTCCAACAGTCATATTAACACAATCAAATAATAAAAATTACATGATCAAAGGAACATAACCAGAAGTAGAAATGGTCATATGAACACGACCAAATAAAACTTACAAAATGGTCAAACAAACCTGATAGACAGGCCATAGGAACGAGGCCATGTATATAATTAGAAATAACCTCATTAGCGGTATGTATTGTTGCCCCCTAAATCCAGACTCGCTCTCTGCAAAAAGCGAGTCCAGGTAGAGGATGCATTTCTGCGCTGGCTTGATGACCTAAAGATGACCATCTTGGGTTTATTAAGTACAAGCCACATAGTGAATAGCATTTGATAACGGGTTTCTCATGAAGCTACATATACACATTGAGCCTGACTAGAAGTTAGAATATTACTACAAAAAGTTCCATGATTTCAGTCTCCAGACTTCCTTCAAACCAGACAATCATGAATAGTAGACAACAATACGCACACAGATCTGATAGTGACCAGGCGTCCACAGAGGGATTACAATTGCATCCAGCAGATGGGCTTGGCTCTGATACAGGGGATTCAAGGACAACCTTTATCAATGAACTCAAATCATTTTTTGAGCTGTATATACACACACAACATAATGACCATACTTACAGGTATACTTTCCATAGGGTCATTGTTAATTGGGGGCAGCCAAGTTGGGCAGACGTACACATCGACAATATGGATATTCTTTCCCTGATTGAGACACAACCTTAATTTACTTTGAAATGTTCCAACTTTGAAATGTAAACAATTCAGCACATGGCAAACTTCAACAAAATTTTCAGCAGAGTATACGGCACCTTGGAAACAGCAATTTCCTGTACCATGCTTAAACAGGCGTTCCCAATCTATGAAGAAAAAATAAGAAAGTAGTAATATATGTAGGCATTTGGATATTACATTCTTAACACTATGTACAATAGGCAACTTACAGTTGAATCCATCTGCTGCTGCAGACCTAGTGTCTGGAAGTCAGAACGAGTAAGACAGCTGTTGCTGCAGCGCACTATGATTTCATCAGGCGGTTTATCAGTGTCCAGGACATAACATAGCTGGGAAATAAAAAGCAGGTCTTAAATTCAAAGTTAGACAATCACTACAATCACAATATAAGACAATCTGTCTATTTGTCCTTTAGCTCCAATATCACAATTAAGCACTGTACCACTTTTTCCTGATCATGGTGCAAAGCCAAAGACCAGCATGATCTCTTTGCCTCTATCGATGCTACAGTCATGAGAACCACACAGTGAGGCCCACATGGCATGCCTGTTGTTCAAGTGATACAGAAAAACAAAATATGATAACGCCTATGAATCAGACATAGACTATTCATGTGCTCCCTAAACATACCTGCTTTAACAGGGTCCACATTGGTTTTCACCTCATGTGTATGGTCATCAGGCAGATACTGAACACCTAAGATATGTTAAGAAAGTGGAAAACAAAAGTCAAAACTCAGATTAACGAAACTACACAAAAGACTCATTCAGTATCATACACTTTCAATCATTACAATACATAAGTACCAGCTTCAAGGGTGCCCGCCTCAGTCAATCGGTCTTGATTTGTGGATATGTCTGTAGATGGTGAACCTTTTATAATGAAATAACACAAAGTAAACAGAACCAGCATTCAGTGTTCAGCTTGGGTGCAGAAGGATATTGCACATGCACAGTATTATTCATATCTTCAAACAATTTCTATAACTTCATAAACATACCTAACACTGCTTGACCATAAGAATTTAGTGTTACTTCCTGGCCAAGTGTGTTCTTCAAGTTGTCCATAACAGCAGCATTTTTGAGGCAGTTGTAGTGGTGTAGAATGTTCCGCATTAGGAACACATGTGAGGATGGCGTCATCATGTTGAGAAAATGATTATTTCGCCTCATCCCTGAAAACAGCTGCTCGGCTGTCTGACTGTTGACCCAGCCACAGATCTCTGGACAAAGTTCCACTTTTCGCAGGACATCACGCTTATCCTTTGTGTTGTCCTCATGAAAACAATCATACAAGGCGTAATGAGCGGACGATCCAGTGAGAGGATGTCCATCTGGGTCTGGCACCTTGTGTTTTAACCATGGCAAGTTCACTTTCAGTTCACCTTTAGCTGCCTGTGCAATATTGCCATCAGTGGCTTCACACAACCTGCCACCATGCGGCCAAAACGTTTGTGGCACTCTTTGGTTGGTGTGGGTTGCCAAACCACGGGCAAAATCATACAGTGTGATGTTTGGAAAGTGTTTGAAGGACAGAAGAATGTCAGCATAATCACGTGGACTTTCTGCTCTGATATTGAATTTTACGGCATAGACCACAGCACAAGGGCAGGTTACTACTGCCCATCCACCTATGAGAAGGCCAAAAAGACAGAAGGAAAGAATAAAAGTGAAAAAAAACTTGTATAGGTTAATCAAATTTGCACACACACAGAGAACGTCTTAATATTATTATCAGTGTCATAAAATGGCCCTAAAACATAAAACAACGCATAAACAGTGCAAGTAGTGTGCATGTAAATTTACTTATTTGCAAGAAAGTTGTAGATACCTGAAGCTCCCCAAATCTGAGAGAATACCTTGTCATAGCTGTCTCTGTTCTTCATTTCTTGCTGAAGCCTGCTTACAATGTCCATTCGTGAACCTCGGGGGTCCACACCACACTGACCACACAAGCTTCGTAGATCTGCCATCTATAAAACACAAATTATATACACACCATATTGTAGCTAGCATCAGCCACAGTGAACAGAAGTCATTGTCAGCCAAAGCTTAGGTGCAGGTAAAGTACAGCTTTCATACCTTGACTTTGAAAAGGTCATCTGTGAGTCGGTCCTCTGTGACCGTCAGCTCCAACTCTTCCACAGGACTGTGTGGGGAATGCATTTTTTGGTATTCTGTATTGAATACGACATTGCCACTCCTGGTGTGGGGCCCTATCCAAGGTGCCCAGTTGTGGTAGCTAGGATGGATGACAAAGGGGTTTTCCTTGTTGCCTATGGGGGTGGGGGCGGTTTGGGGATTTAGAGAGAGCACAGACATGATATTTGATAATAAATAAAGGAAATGTCTCATTCCTATTTACAAGAAGACTATTGTTCAGCCAAGTCACCAAATCTGGCATTATGTAAATGAAAAAATAATGCTGCTGTTTTGGCGCATGACTACACTTTACTTTGGAAAAAGCAATAGTTTGTATACTCACTAGACACCAATCCCCGGGAAATCACTTCCATTTGCACCTTCTGCCAGAACTCTTCAGCATTCACCCTGCCATCAAAATCTGCTGGTGGTTCCTCAATATCGCTCACTTTCAAGAACAGTACAGTCATGACATAATCTGTACAAGACAAATATAATGTGCTTTAGAAACAGACACAAACACTTACCAGGCATGCTAAACACTCCTTTCTTGTAAAGATCCAAAACCACAGTCACAGGATGATAGCCACATGACACGCATGCAAATGTGTAACTGTGGTCACACAAGGCCTCAAACGTCATATAAGCCTGAAGAATCTTTTGAGCTGATGGGAAACGTTTGCCCGATGTTTTCTCCGGTACCTCAACGACGCTACCAACAGCCTGGTGAGTCTGCAGAATCATTAACATTACATATAAATTTACTATGTGTTCTCGGCAAAATAGACAAAATTAAAATGTTTCATATTGGCTATATCCAAGACAAAGGGGATTATTTGCCTACCTGAAGACTGTTTCGCAGGAAAAGGCAAAGGTGTATTGACAGTAGTGTATGGTCGTCAAAGTTGTGGACACCATCAGACCATTCCTGGTATCGGTAAACCAGGCCACACTTGTAGCACCACTTGGTATATAATGAAATTCCTGTGCATAATAATTGATGTATTAAATTTGAAAGAGTGTAGTTTTTTGTAGTACTTTTGTATGAAGTAAAATGACATTGAATTTACTATTTCTACTGAATTGGATAAGGTAAAGATGAAGGGGCAGAATGTCACACATGCACTGCTATACAACATGCACAAACAAACACAGATATACAAGAAGGACCTATCTTTGCCTTTGAGGTGATTAGAGCTGGTTCACTCAGCACAGTGTGTTCTGGGCAATGACGGCAGAAGGTCTCTGATGGGACCAAAGCAGACGGGAATGTCTTTGTGTGGACTGCCTCACGTGGAAGTGGAACTGGGATTTTTTTATTTTTGAAGATGTCCTGAACAATGTCCACAAGAGTTTGGCCTGTTGGTGGATAATGTGCATCGTCCTTCTCCAGCTCTTCACCTTCCATTTCTGCACTGCACAGCAACATTCCTTGGTCTGCCTCAACACATTTAGCCCTCCTAAAAAGTGACTGCTCAGTTTGAAATAGATGCCACTTGGCCACGTACTTATGAATGCAAGACTGCCGTGGCTTTGCACATGGACAGTGCCAAGTTATCTTTTTGCAGTCAAAGCTGACCAAGTCTGCTGTAGTACGTTATAGACGGCTCAAACACAGAGATAAATCTCTTAGAAGGAGGGCCTGAGAAGTTAACTTTGCAGGAGAGCGGCATTTCAGCCTCAATGGCAGCCTTTTGCCGTGCCAGACACTGGTCTTTCCTGTCCCGCCCAAACCATTTCTCTGAGACCATCTACTCTAGCACTTCCTCGGAAAGAGGAGAATCCAGTTGTGCCGCCGGAGGGCAAAAGCAAATAGACTGGATATGTGGACATTCAAAAGATCTCAAATTGGAGCTTGCAGCACAATTCATATTAATTTTGCACACATCCAATTCACAGCACGTCATCTGATTTTCCCCCCATTTCCTCTTTATTACGTGAATTGGTGTGCTTGATGATGTAAATGACTTGGCAACAGCAAAAACACCATTGTCAAAATCAATGCACTGGCAGCACAGGTGGTGTTGAGCGGTTATGTACAGGTTTCACTACAGTGTGGTGTCTCTGCAGGTGCACCCGTAAATTGCGCCTGTTCAACTTCAATCCACAGTGTGGACATACCACTGACTCTTTGGCCTTGCAAACTGGCGGTGGTGGGGGAGGCAATGGCACTCGCAGGGAGAATGACCCAGGTGCTGCAGAGGCTAGGGAATTTGACAAGGTGAAAGGAGCTGGAGACTGTGGTGAGGCCGAAAGCACCGTTGAATGAGGCAAGGGGGCGGACGGTGGAGCTGGAGACTGTGATGAGGCTGAAAGCACCGTTGAATGAGGCAAGGGGGCAGGGAGTGGAGGTGGAGACTGTGGTGAGGCTGAAAGCGCTGCTGAATGAGGCAAGGGAGCTGGAGACAGATGCCCCTTCAAGTGAATCTCAAATTGGTCCTTCCGTATAATGGTGTTGATGCAGTGCGGGCAATGAAAATGTGCAAACTTTCTGCACGGCCTACTGCATTTACAGATGGTAAATCCTGTAAAGAAAAAAACTAATGTTATACATACATCTGAAAGGCCAGCTATTCCAACATGTAGGAGATATTTCACCATAGTTGCCATAAACATACAAAATTCCATTCATACAAACTTTACCTTTGTGCTTCACTGCTAGCTTCAAGTGATTTTGCAAATGAATATCCATCTGGTATGTATGTTTGCACGTGAACATACAGCATGGGCATTCATACAGTCCATCCCTCTGAAAAGACCGAAGGTCCAGGGCACCTTCCAAATGGGTAGGGTGCTGAGAAAAAAAAGAAATGTATTTCTTGTTTCATTTTACCTTTAACAATCTTTTCTGTTGCACTTTTTACATACCTGCAACTACAATGTAGTACTTTCACTCTTTACAAAGTTCTTTCATTTTTGGTTAAACAATCTGATTGACCATTTTGTCCCTTTAAACTTTATTTAATTTGTCCCGTGAACACATTTTAATGAAATGATTAACCTAAATTTGCCTGTCATTTTTCTGTCTTCATGGTGGCAGGCATCTTAAGCCCATTCATATTTAGCCTAACGATATACAAAACTACAAAAAAAGGCTTTTAAACTACATAAAATTGCCATATTTTTACAAATTTATCAAAATGACTCGTCGCCATGTTGCGCAGGTCAGTGTTGACCACAATGTTTCCTTCATAGTCTAGATTATCCTCAATTTCCTAACGAGATTGTCATTCGTTACAAATTATAATAATAATAATATCAATAATACAACCTTTCATGCATGTTAATCAAAATAAAAAAACACATTCAAGTCAGTTTGTCACCACGTCAATACAACTCTTTTGCAAAAAATTCCAATCCTTGACTATGGCAATGCAAGCTAGCTGCTAACATGTAACAACACGGCCAGTTATTTTTAAGAATGTTATATATCTGTGACTAATTACATTAAAGAAAAAACTTACAGCCATTGAAAACGTATTTTTACGACGAATAATTCAGCCGCGACTTTTCTTCTCTCTTCATGTGCTTCCCCATAGACATAATATGAGTAGACCCCGCATTGGCTTTCGCGGCGCTGGAATTATTGGGGCGGTCGACCTGGTAGTCAAACCTGCTGATTCAAGCTGAACACACTAATGATGCCTCAGCACTGTGCGGCATATTTTTGTTTAAATTGACAGACTATTGACGTCAGGGCTCGAGGGATAACTTTTCACAATTAAGATGAAAACATATCTTTACATATATCTTATATATATATATATATATCTTCATATATATGTCTATGTGCGTCCCTCCCCTGTTACGTCAGCATTTCCAATATGGCTGTGCTCGATGTGGGCGGAGCTTGATGTCAAGCCCCGCCTTCCCGCAGGCTGCAGCGGGATGCTTCTCCGTTTTTAAACCAGTCGGCCTTCCATAGCTCAGACACGCTGCGCCTGCTGCTCAAAACGCGCCACAGGACCTTCTGCTGCGCCTTGACGCGCGTCAACCATTGACTTTGCATGTAAACTCGCTGCTTCTGTCGCGCCAGCTGCGTCCGGTGTGAACGCAGCATTAGGGTTTAATGGTCCACCCTTCCCGACCCACTACGTAGTTTGGGATGGCCCTTGATATGGTGGACCCTCTGCGGGAACCTTCAAACAAAGGGTTAGTGCTTAGAGGTAGTGTTAAGGGGACAGTTTGAGATTGGTCCATTTAATAGTACCGTATTTTCACGACCATAAGGCGCACCGTACTAAAAGGCGCACTCTCAGTTATGTGTCCCATTTCTGTATTTAACTCACACATAAGGCGCACCGGACTATAAGGCGCACTCTCAGTTATGTGTCCCATTTCTGTATTTAACTCACACATAAGGCGCACCGGACTATA